AGAACATCTTCCAACTCAGCTATCTCTACAAACCTTTATTTCTCCCTCTGTTCCTACCCGGTCTCAAGTAATGTTGCTTGTTCAAAACACTATGGCTATAATCAGGTCAATTAAGTCACAATCAGGAAAAAAACTGCCTTGTATTTAGCAAACACCACCAAAGACTAGTTATTACTGACACCAAATAAAAAAAAAAAAAACAACAAAACCAACAAACCAAACCAAAAAAAACTCCCACAAAAAAACACCAAAAAACCTTAGGCATTTCTCTGCATAAGGCCTTTTTAAATTGAGATCTAAAAATAGACAGACAGACAACCAGACAACAAGCAGACTTAAACAATTTTATCAGTGGTTGATTTATTTCAGCTTTCTGCTCTCCCTGGTCGCAGTTCAGTGCAACCCATAAATAAGTTAGGCTGGTTGAAAGAGATTGAATTTTTGAGGCCAGAGCAGTAACTGAGGAATTGAACAGCCTAGAGGTTGAAATATTGTCTCCTGGGATGAAAGCCTTTGGACCCATTAGCAGCTGTCTATATTGCTTTTCCAGCCACTGACACATATGAGCATGTCATATTTATGTTTCTTTGTGTCACAAAAGGACAGATCTCGTATGTGTTCTGGGCTCCATTGCGCTGTTACTCTAAGAGTAAGAACATCTCAAGTCACTTAGCCACGTAAATTACAACACATGCCAACATTTTCCTGCAAACTAAAAGTTACCAGTCACCATCAAGTTTCTCTCAGGAACTGCTTTTCAATATTTAAAAGGCATCCAACCAAATCTAATATTCAGGAGGTTAGAAAAAAAGATTGAACAAAGCTTTTAAGCTCTACGCTTTTACAGTGTAGTTATAGGGAAAAAAAGAAGTCATATTTCCAAAATGTGTTTACTGTATCTAACACCTTCTATTTCTCAGCTAGTTTGCAAAATTACCATTACCCAGAGAACCTCAAAGATTTTTCCCTTACCAAGCACTAAAAGGTCAGATCTTTCAAAAATATGAGAAGGCCCCATTTCCTGTGAAGAAAGTCTGCACCAGTTCAGCACAATTTGATTATACAGAAAGCAGTAATTTTTACTTTTTCTATACTGTATTTGTCAGCACTTGCAAAGGAAAGACTGAAAGGGAAGCCTGAGAATGTTTTTGCTTTTTTTCTTAAAAACAAAACAAATGAGCAAAACAAAAACAGCCCACCATCATCATTCACTTTTTCAGTTGTTCTCTCAGGATCAAATTTCCACAAGAAAACAAAAACAAAAGACTCCACAGACAACTGAAGCAACAAGCAATGGACTGCAAAACCAACCCATGACCAAAGGCAAAAAGAAGTTATCTCCAGGTCTTACTTCGTATGAAAACATGGAAATTACCTCAGGAAAAGCACAGGCCCGTGGAGGACACCCAAGCTCTCTGTGGGGCACAGGAGCCATCTCGGGGCCACCTCAGGGGCTTTTTTACCTCACGAACCTGCCCTGCCCCACCCCGCCCTGCCCGGCCAGGTGCTGCCACCACAGCCCTGCTCCTCCACCTTTGGTGACAGACTTGTGTTTGATTCACAGCTCAATACACAGAAATAAATACTTTTTGCCCTCACTTACTTAGAACCCCACAAAACCTAAAGCAAACGTTCTTTCTAAGATGGTGCCATTGAACATGGGCCACAGGCTTCCCAGGCATGACAGAAATGGTTCCCCACACAGCACCCCTGAGCAGTGGGGTTTCGGCTAGTTATGAGGACAACCACATGCCAACAAAGAGTGAAATTTGATAAAAAGACATAAAAGGCATCTCTGGGGTCTCGGAGCAGTGCTGTAAACCCCGTGGGGGCTGCAGGTCTGCTCAGGGCTGCAGCATGAGGAGGTGAGGTGGTAGCCAAAAATGGTTTAGCACAAGGTTAACCTTCTCCTGAAAACAAAGGCAGTGTTTAATTTGAAATCATTGAAGTGATGGATTAAAAAGGAAAAGCGGAAATGTGAGAAAGTCACTTCATAAATCACTATTAAAATCTACATTTCCCCTTTTGCACAGTCTGTAAAAAAAGAAAAACATACATCTGTTTTTATTTTGCAAGTAAAAGAGAAACATACAATTGTTTTTGTAAGAAAAGATGGCAACTGAAACTAAAAAGCATTTCTTAAAAATAGAGTATCACATTTGTTCTGATCGAGCCTTTGTATTTTCAAATTCTTTGTTTTGAAGAAGGGCTCCTAATGGCATCAAGTATACAAACACAAAATGGCAAGAGTTTGTTGGATCTAGTAAATGCCAAGCTGACTCTATACTGGCATTAACTGCTACCAGTTTTTTTTTTCTAATTAAACATTGAATCAAATGGACACATCACCATCATCATCTGTCTTGCAAAAGCCTGTAACCACAGCACCTTGTGCTCCACTCCTAGTAGACTGCAACACAGACAGGACTGGTGATTTGGACGAATGACACTAATACAGAGATCTCTAATGAATAACGATGTGCTGCTCATAAAATACCATCTGACTTTGTACTGGGGGGAGCTGATGGCAGGTCCTGCCTCCCCAGAGGACTGGGCACTGCTCAGCCCCACAGTCAGGAAGCAGGTGAGGGTTCCCCATTTGCGCATCGCTGCACTGCTCTGCAAGCCAGCATCTGAGCTACAGCTGGTCAGGTGCAAAGAGGAATGCATTTACTTCCTGGTATTTGGCAGTATTTCCCCATGACCACCAGAATACTGCTCAGTTGGGCATTTTCTCTTTAAGTCTTGTAAACAAACCCCCAAATCTAAAGGAATTTTCAGTCAGCTTCAGCTTAGTTGAAAATTTTCATCCTAAACGAGCAAAGAAAATAACAGCTCTTCACCAAAATGTCTTTGAATAAGAACAATTCCTATCAGTAATGTGCTTTGACAGCCAGCCCCCTAAAAGAAAGAGAAACCACCACTCCTCCGCAGCTCAACAGCTCCTCAGGAAGGTCTCTGCACGCAGTGGGTTACGCAGAGATGCACAGGACAGAGGATCACCAGCCCCATGTTGTTCTTCAGCTGCAGTTGTACCCCCCTCACCTGGGGGGAACATCCCGCTCCAGCTGACACAGACAAGAGAACAGGACACCACAGCATTTAAATTAAAAAAAAAAAAAAAAAAAAAAGTCACAGGGGTACCTTCATGACACGTGCTATAAGCATGTTACTCATGACAGATTTTTAAACTCAACTACCTCCTACGTACTCACAAGGTATACACAGCAGGCTACAAGTCTGTTTCTCAGGGAAACAGCACACCCACACAGTGATGGACAACTTCAGTACTAACTTTCAAAGCCCTCACTATTACTATTATATACTATATACTATTACACTGGCTGTAATGAAGTACACAGGTTAAGCAACTCATACAACTGGCAGGATGTTTAGGATTTATGATTGTAGTGTACTCCCCAGATGGCTCTTCTCAGCTGCTGCACAATGACTACTTCACTTACAGACCTTGATAGGAAAGGGTTAACAACCCCATGGAGACACTTTTATAGAACAGACAAGTTAAGTATTGCAGTTCATTTAAAGATACGTGGAAAGAAAAACTACAGACATTATGTAATATAAATTATTTAATGCTAAAAAACCTCATATGAAGTAAAAGATTGCACATAAATACTACGTAACATCCAATGGGATTAATCACCTTTCTATGCTTTGCACAGATTTACCTACTATTTTTGGAGAAAATTAAAACTTGGCACTCACTGAACATTGTATCTTTAAAACTCAGTTAAAAAAAAAAATCTGTAATAAGGTTTTTAGATAAAGCATTCCACTTCAAGGATTAAGGACATCAAGTACCAAGGTAAAACACGCCACGGAAAAAACACATTTCCTCAGCTGGTATTAAGTTAAACTTCTATAGTCACACATAAACATACTAATTAACATTTTCTGTGAAGGTCTCCCTTCACTATGTCCAGAGACTGTATTAGTGATTTCACCCCATTGACATGTTTTCTGGAAAACTTACCATATGCTTTTGAGATGTTATTTATATTACAGTTTACAGGGGAAATACTAATGTTGTACAACTCAAATACTTATCAGCAAATTTTAAATTATAGCCAAATTTTAATTTCATGAAAATATGAAGGAATTTTATTTTTATTACTAGAATTCAGTTATTTTTACCTAAAATACATCATTTTCTAAATATCTAACAAAATTCATAAATCAAGAGATGAAAAAATATAATGCCTGTTTATTTCACACAGTCCCCCACTGCCCCTTTTCCTATGTTCAAATATGACTCTTCTGAACTGCACAATACACACGTAGGTGGCAGGTATGAGGAAGTTTTCCAGTGCTTTATATAGTACATATTCAAGTTTGGAATAGAACTACAAATTACTATTTTTAAGGATAGCTAGCACTGACAAGAAAGTAAATACTATTTTAAATGCCTTTGACAGGCTTGTCTGAACACACTGTTGTAGATAAACTGCTGACAGTTTAAAAAAGCAGAGTATTTATCTCATTACTGATGACACACTGAATAAATACCATCACAATATGCAAAATACCTACGTTTTAACATGAGCTGCTTTTCTGGCAAAATAATCCCAAGTGTTAGGTAAAGACAGTCAAAAGCATGATTCCTGAGCATCTCAATCAGCCTGATTACATGTCAGATTTGAATTTCAGTAGGTCAGGAGGATGGCAGGTCCGACTTCAGACTGGATTCTATCACCATTACTACCTTCCAAACAGCAGTAAGTCCTACATCAGTGTTAGCTTTGCCAGGCTTAGGCATCAACTGCAATGTAATCCTGGGGAAGGTGACTTACAAAGGAGATAAAACAAACATATGCGTTCATAACAAAATGGAAAATCTTCCCAATGACATGCGTGAAAATAAGTCTGGACTACACTGGACTGATGAAAAATAATACGTCCTGCCCCACCTTGTAACCATTAAGACAGATTTTTATCCGCTTTTACCACTACAAAAGAACAACAGACAAAATACGAAAAGCTCACGGGCAACACCTTTTATTCCTTGAATTATCAGGAAATCCAGAAAGTGTAACTTTCCGAGAAGCACAAAGTATCTCAAACAATATGCCTTATTCTCCATCCTGCTGACAAGGTTTTCTCAACTTACATAACTGTAAGTACTGCCAAAACCAGTATCCATCTTGTTATTTTTTATAAAACAAAACAAAAAAAAAAAGAGCACTATTCATTAAAATGTATTTTTCTTCAACTGTAAGCACAGTTCTGAATGATGTCAGGTGAGGCAGTAAGGAACTGTTAACTGCTGAAGAGATATAAATACAAAATAAAAGCATTTTAAGAGTCTTCTTCCATAGCCACATCCTCTTGTAGCTTCTGCACCATTTTGTCCTCCAGCTGTTTTGGTGTGCCTTCAAAGCAAAGAAAAAATTAAATTCAAGATGTCTCTCTAAACCCAAATAACCATTCTGCTTTGAACAATACATTCTAGGTGAAACAGCCTAAATATATTGCTTAAGAGTTGTTTAGGAGTAAACCCATCAAGCTTACAACTATTTATTGCTAACCTCCATCACCACCTAAAACTACTGAAGAATTGTTTTAACAGAAAAGCTGATGCTGGTTTTATGCAAAATCTAAAATGCAATCAAACATATGTTTTCATCCGGTATGAAAAGCTTTGATATAGCTGGCAATACCTAGCAGAACCTTGCAAAGGACTATAAAAATGCATTACTTTTAACAGATCAATGGCCTTCACACATTAGTTTTTATATAAATATTTAAGCCCTCCTGCATGCTGTGTTGGATGGCAATAGTGTTGACAATACTACTACCAAAAAGAAAAAAAAAATAATCCAGGATTGACATCTTTTTTTTTTTATTTCTAGTAGTAATTTTGAAACGCTGAAAAGGTAGCTTGTTGTTTGACAAACAGATGTACCACGTGCTGCTGTGCATCATTCATTTAACATAAGAAAAGTCACACCTACATCCATGGAGACCAAAATTACTGGTAATTTTTATAAAACAGTAACGAATAGAAATCTTTTTAACTTCTCTCCATTACTCTACTCTGTTAACCATATTTTAAAGAATACATCATCTTTACAATCTATTTTTATCCACATCACCTAACAAGCTAGTACTTGTTATAGGTTAGAAACCAGAAAATTATTTACAATAAACAGGTTTCTCCAGCTGAAAAACTCAGTTCACTAACAAAGAATATACATTATTATATGTGAACTAGGCACAGATTTTAGTGAAAATTTGGAAAATTACCAAGAACTTAAAAAAATGTTAGGCTTGCACTGAAGAAGCAGTATTTTCACGTAAGTTTCACTATACCCAGTGAACTACAAAAGAAAACCCCTATTCTCACAATTAGCTAACGAATTCAAAATTAACTACCCTATTTTATTTCCATCAGTGGTATAGTCTGTTGAGTTCAAATAATCAATTCATAGGGAAGACTTAGATAAATATATCGGTTAACAAACACACAGTTCATAAAGTACCAGGTATTGAGTGCAATTTAAAATACTTAAATAAGGAAATTAAAGGATGAATGCAGGATCAGATGAACAAAAAGGTATGTCTGATCCAGAACAAAGATACTGCTTACACTTAGTGACAAGAGCTATTCTCCATATTCAATAGAAAAATTAATTGTAATAAAAATGCACAGGATTATTGATCTGTAGAATTAGTCATACCAAAAAAATCGGTATTCATCATAAAATTGTATACACTTAACCTAAGCAAATTGGGTAAAACAAGTTCTTACCTGCATGTGGAGCACGAAGAAGGTGGATATTCTGTTTGACTTCTTTGATGTCTTCTGCCTTCTGCAACTCTTTGCTCTTCTTTAATCTGGGGAGGGGGAAAATTAAATTTACCTTTAAAGAGGACATGTATGTTTTCATTTTAATGCATGACACATCTTTAGCTAAAGGTATGTAAACTGTAAATAACTATGACTATGAGGAAATAAAGGTTTAAAGTATTTGAAAACCAATTCAAGCATACACTGGATACAAAACCAGAAAAAAAAGCCAGTACCGTATCAACTCTTAGCAGAAATTTGTTTAAATCTAAGACTCCATATTACAAACAAGGAAATAAAACTATTATCATCGAGTGCCCAAAAGATACATTTCATTGGACAGCCAATGAAGAGTAGCAGTTTGGTAGCACAGTAGAGCCCACTCAAGCCATTTTACCCCATCACTTGGATGACTGTGTATGTACAAAGCAAATAACCATTTAAAACTTCTGACCATCATTTCTCTGGAAAGACTGACTGTCCAATATAGATTTGTGAGAGCTCCCATAACACAAATACTTCTCCTCACCTGTTCATAATAAATCTAGCTTGGCGTTTTTGCTTTATTTCCTCCACCCTCTTCATTGCATCAACTGAAATAAAGCAGAAGTTGTTTTAAATGTGCTTACATACCTACAGTTAAAAATACATGTTATTTCGCAGAGCAACACCACCAGTATTCCGCAATACCTCTATATCAGAGGCAACTCTTATACTACATAGAGGAAGTCATTCCTTCTTCAAAGAGCAGGGTATGGGAATATTCTGTGTAGCAACTATGATTAACTGTATTTCCAGACTCCTTTATGCTTCCACTTTTGTGCCTACACATACTTTCTACAATTAACCACGACTACAAAAGACTCTTACTCTACTTGAAATCAGATGCAAGTGACCACCTTCTCCTTTGTGGCATTCATTCATGACATAAGTAACTCTTCCATTTTATAGCAATTGATTTATTAAACAAACTGAAGTGGAATGAGTGGAAACAAAGAGACAACTGCATCAGTATAAAAGGCTTACACTGGGAGCCTCTTAAAATGCTGGAGAAACACTAAAGTTTTTGAAAATAGTAATTCAAAATAGAAGAATGCTGCACCTCATTTTCTAACCATTTTCTGAAAAAAAACAAAATCAAGTGGAACTCCACACTTGTTCACAACTCAAACCTCCTCCACACATAAGAATTTGGTCATGATTCCAGTAATTTCAAACACAACCTCTATAAAGTGTTAATATTCTAAGAAGCCTTCTGAAAACACATTCATGTAGAGTAAAAGTTCACTCCCCGTAGTCCACCTTTTGTTTTTTCTAAAATGACTCACCAGTCTTGTTCCACAACTCTCTCTGGTATTTCACTGGTTCATTTCTACGTTTTTCAAACTCAAATGAGTTATCCTATATTAAGAAAAAGTAAATACAGATTATATACAGAAGCATACGTAGATCAATACATTCTTACTATAGCACTCACTCATATAGCTTCGTTAAAATACGATTTTTTTTCTTTCCCTTTCAGAATCTCAGTTCCTATACTTTAACAACCTTTAGAGATTACTAAACTAGAAGGTAATAGAGTGGAATGTTTGACCTCAAAGTGTCAGAAGCCACAGTGATTTGTCTGAAGAGAACTATTTACCAAAACATCTCCCTCAGCTATTTTCTTTTTAGCAAGACAAAAGGAACAGAGAAAACCAAAGTGGAGTAGGAAATACAGAGCAGACTAGACAGGTGGAAGGCAAAACTGGAAACGTGTAGAGTCAAAAGCATTTAATGTTGGTCAAATAAGTTCTACTCAACAGCTTGTAATTTTGAAAAGGTTCAGAAAATCTGTTTCATTTTAAGAATATTGAAACAGTATAAAATAATTTGAAATTGTAAAATATTTCAATTAATGACATTGTGGTGTTTGGGGCGACTGGGGAGGGTCTTTTTATTTTGTTTTTTTTCCCCCAAGAGTTTAAGATGGAAAAAGAGTTGCCTGGTTGTTTGTTTGTTTTTTTTTTTTGCTAGGCATACCGCCCAAAGGTTCTTCTTTGTATGCTTTAAGAAAGAGACTTCAAAAGGTAACTATTTTATGTGTCTACATAGAAAGACTGGGGTACCCAGTAACCCAGATTATCTGATTGTGCAGAAATACAACTACCAACTGTTTATGTACAGACAGTAGAAGATGTATAGATGAAAAAAAATGCCTTGGACTTGGGAACCGCCACGTATAACCGACATAGACACCTGATACACTGGCTTCCACACTGAAGCTGAAATGAGAAGTTCCAAGTTACAGTAAAGCTAAACGAATAGCTCACTCTCAAGAAAACTCTTCCACAATCCCTCTTTTTGCCACTTATTTCATCCCTCATGCTCACTTAATTAAATGATAATGCATTAAGCTAGCTAACATAACCTGTCTGCAACTGGAAGAGGCTAGACTTCTGCCATTTGAGTGAGCTAATGCAAAGCATGAACCAGTTTAACTTCTTACCACTGTCAATTCTTTGCCAGCTGCTTTCCGGAATGCTTTGGTCCATCTCATCTTCCTGGGATTTCGCTTCTTTTTAAAGTTTCTGTGGCATTTTGATTTGCAGAATCTAAATATCTTAAAGGGGGGGGGGGGGGGGGGTAGTCAGTCAAATCATGTTATTCCTGCCCTGTTGCAAGCACGATACCAAACATAAAAGTTTCTCTAACAATACTGCTCATTGAAAACGACATTGATCTTTCAAATTTCAATAGTTTTAGTTCATGTATAGCTATTACAAAAAGAATTTCAAGGACTATTCTTGTTTTTTCATCATAAAGTCATTTTCACAGCTGTCAGGGACATGCACAAATACTTACAATGAAGTTGATTATAAATAAAATATACCGAGTTGTGAGAATTATCATCTGCAAAAACAACTATAAAACCAAACCTGTTCTATGAATAAAGATTTTCTATACCTGTCAGCACTTTTTAGATACAGTCCCATCCCGACAACAAGAAAAAATCCTCACACCTCTCATAGAACATTTGTGAATGCAATACACATACACACACACACACACACAAAAAGTCTATCTTCTGGAATGTAGCTTTAAGCTTTAAAGATTACCCTGCAGCAGGAGTCCTAAGCCCCTTAGTCAAGTCCTGGACTGAATTTATTGAAAGCTGTTAAAGCATATGCCAAAACATTCTAACTGACCTCCCCCCTCTCCCTTCCATTTTTCTACATACTCTGCAGAATCATAGAATCATTTTAGGCACCTGCTACTGCCAGCCATGGAAGTGCCTTATGTTCACCAGGTGATGTTTTCACACCTGTTAAAGATGCATTAAAGAAACTTCTCTATCCATACTTGAAATTTCCCTTTTATTAGTACTGAAATTATGTCACTAACAGCCAAGGTAAAGAACAACTTTCTATCCCAAACTGTATCAAACCCAACATACATTTTCCGGTCAAAAAGAGTATGCGGCAAGACGGCAGCAAGATAAGGAAGGGGGAGGACAGGAGGGGACATAATGATATCCCTATTTACAGTTCTTCATTTTCCCTAAATTTGTGCATCACTTTGAACTATCCTGAGCTATCCTGTATCCAGAGCAGAGCTAAAACTTTACTTAAGAACACTTAAAATTATATTTGTCGTTCCTGATTTTTTCAAATCACTATTTCTCTTCCACTATACTCCTCATCGAATAGTCACTTCTAAAGAAAATGAACAGAAAATATGAAACTCCTAGTAAAGATAATGATCTTCAAATAATTTTTCTTTTTTTACATTCCTCTACCACGTTATTTCACCTTAACTCAGACAAATCTGCCACTATATTTTGTTCTTTCATAGATTACCTATTCACAACCAACCTGCCATTGTGCCATTTTATTTAAAAAAAAATAAAAAAAAACACCTTGTGGCCATTTTCTAGTAAACAGAACCGTGTCAATCTACATCTACCTCTAAATTCCCAAAAGCCGTGACTCAGATAAGCAATACGGTTGAGCCGGTATTTGTTCTGACGTCTGAGCACGGGAAGGAAGCTATTTGCGTAAGCTTCGTTTCACACTGGGGTCTCCAATGCCCTATAGGAGTGACAAGAAGTACAGCAGAAGCTGGGAAACGATACACAACATTTTACGTACAAAATTGTCACCACAGCGTAAAGCCCAAAGTGCTATGCACATCCTGTTATGACAGCCTCAATTGGGTAAGTCACATCAGATACCCGAGTGAGTTACAACTCTTAGTACAGTACCATGACAGAGACATAAAGCATTAGCTTTAGTATGTGATGTCTGTAATCTAGACTGTTCAAAGCTTTAGAATCACCTGCTATTAATCTGAAGCCTCCACTTCTCCAAAATCAGCAAATTAAAGAATGACGATTTTGTACCGCTCTGCTAAGCACATAATTTCTTAGTAAAAACTGAAAACAAGTAACTCAGCCCCCACTCTTCCCGACAGCCACCACGGTTGCCGAGTGACAGCATCACTCCACGTGACGGCTCCCACACCGCACGTAGATCAGCGCGGTGGGTGACGCCACCTCACGAACGCTGGTTCCGAGC